CTTTTAGACTACACTTTACATTACATTATACGCTTTTCAAGGACAAATTTTACGGGCATGTGATTAGTTTTATTACTGAACATAATTTATATAATATTATTTATTAAATCTAATTGATAATGTACAGCTTATGAAAATGAATCGTCGAAAAGAAAATTTTCTTCGCGATTTACGTCTCTTTTTATTGCTCCATTTAGGAATATTTCGTCCATAGAAAAACGATTTGCTTAGGATAGGGAAAAATAAACATTCTGATTGATTGGTGATCTGACCAAGACCAAGGTGAGAATAAGATGATGAAATTTTATTGTAATCCAATCACACGTTGTATCCCATGATAAATCATAAGATGCCGTCTTTTTTTCAGCTGATTCCTATCACTTTGGAATTTGATCTATTTCATGGACAGTATTGCTTTGTAGTATGTTTGATGTTTTTGAAGAAACCTCTGATGATGTGCTTTTTGAGTACTTCTCTGGTATCCTCTTCTGATCTATATGGAATGAAAACTGTTGGAGTGCATGTTTTCGGAATAAATTGTCAACCACGTCTAATGATGGTGTTGATTTTGGTTATTCAGTTCTTTGGATGTTTATTTTTCTTGAGGATTTCGGCCGTTGGTTTAGGGACTTAATTTTTCATGCTCACTAGGGAACATCAGCCAGTTTAGCCAAGTAAAGATGTAGTAAAAAACTATCAATAGTTCGATATTAGACCACTTGGTCAAAAGTGACCGGCCACAAAGCCTGCCAGCATTGAAGAATCCTTCTCCATCATCATCTACCGGGTACCAAACATATTGTCAAAACCACCCAGCTATCTCACACTCCAAAAAACAGAGGCCGCTATCGCGATTCATCTGAAACGACCATGGATATGTGTGCAGAAGATGCAAGTCTAGCCAGCCACTATTACTTCTCTGACTGACCAACATTAACGTTGTTTGAATGACATCGAATCAATAATAATAATATCAATGGATTACAGTTCGACAGCACCAGCATAACACTGGACTGCACTGAGTTTCAGAGAATTTAGGAAAAATGATAACAGTACAAATTCATGCATTTGTAATCTCCACTAAAGGCCAATCAGAGCAGTAGTAGCGGTTGGCTGGACTTGTTTTTTGCACTGAGAGTAGAGGTTGTTTCAGGCGATTCACGATAACCTCTGTTAATTTGGAGTATATGGTGTCTGAATGGTTTTGGCAATTGGTTTGGTGCTCGATAGATGATGATGGAGAATGACTCTTCAGTTCTGGGTTTAAGGCCGGTCGCTTTTGACCAAGGGGTCTAATATCGAACTGTTGATGATTTTTACCACAACTTTACTTGGCTACACTGGCTGATTTTCCCGAGTGAGCATGAAAAATCAAGTTCATAGAACAACGGCCAATATAACTTGCGCCACCGCAAGTGCAGTTGAATTGGTAGACACGGTTAGAGGTGCATAGCTAGTCTAGGTACTTCATCTTTCAATTGGGGAATCAAAAATGATCGTGCAGAAAATAACACCGGCATTAAAACTTCTTTGAACCGATTTTATTAACTTCCTCCTGATTATTTCTCTTAGTATATATAGCCCTTGAATTGCAGTCTTATATGTAAAGGCTTCTTGTTTAAGGATAGTACTTTGAATAGTCCTTTTCAACTTTCTTAGTTATATGTTTCCTGATGAATTTGTCTGGATAGCCATTTCTAACCAATAAAGGTATCATGTACAATCAACCCTCAGTTCATCTTCAGTTAACTCTTCTGAGCATATAGCTCTAACCGTGTGACCGAGGGTATTTAATAAATTTCTTTTGTACTGGAGAAGAACGAAGCTATGGAAATGTGTGTATTGTCGTGTGCGTGTGATTTTTCTGTGCAAATTTCTGTTTATACATCTCTGACCTTCAGCTGACACTATAAGTTCATGAATTTGTATTATTTTACTTCCTAATTTGTCTGTCCGATATTCAGTGTAGTCTACCTCAGTGTTATGTTGACGTTATCGAACTGTAATCCAGTGATATTAGTATTATTATTATTGATTCGATGTTATTCAAACAACATAAATGTTGTTTGGTAATAACACTAATTCATTCATTCACTATTATGAATGGATATATAACTGTAGAAGCTGATGATGAGTGGGTTATCGAGAAGAATATTCTCTGTTCAGCAACCATTCTTTTTAAAATGTTAAACATATATTTTAAAAGCATTCATGATGCTTACAAATGGAACTAGCAGACATCAGATCAACACAGGACATGTATTCATGTCTAGCCAGGCTCTCGAGGAAAACGATTTTTAGAGGAGAACTCGATGATTTCATTTTACAGAAACTGTCAAGGAACTTAGCCCTAAGTTCCTATCGTAATGAAGACTTAAGCGATTGAGCCGATAAATACTATGCGCTTTCTTCAACTTTAAATCCAAAACACCAGTATTCCTTGAACGAAATTATATTGTTTGGCAATTAAATTGAAGAAAACTACAAAGTCTGCAAACAAATGTTAAGTACAAGTGAAGTTATAAAGTACTTTTATTCGTATTTAAATCCAGTCTTCCTTCAACTTGCAAGCGATTGTTCCATTCGCGCCTTCAATTGCCCGCCAATGGTTGCCAGTTCCAATAAAACAAACGTTCAATGTTCACTTCCATTGACACTCCCCGGCAAAAAAGGGTCCATCCCTTTTTTCCACAGCGGCGGTAACCTTGAACTGAACTGCCAATGCGGGAACCTGGGCCAATCGGGACTAGGCTAAAATTGGAAAAGCAAGACAAAAAAGCCCAACACACAGCAAACATACCACATCACACCGACACGCTCTCCCCGGCGCATGGGATCTACGCTCTCTGACGACAATACCACCACTGATCTGGTTCACGAAGTATCGATTGCTTCATTCCACTCTAGCCCAATCCTCTCCCCGGCGTATCCAATCGCGTACGCTGACTCTAACTCTACTCGATTCGTTCACAAGTTTAGAAGCGAATTCAGAAGTACTTACAAAAACATTACAAGATGATTCACACAATGCGACAACTATAAAATTAACCGACAATCAGATGAATCGGAACCCACTGAATTACTCAACACAAACATATGTACAATCAATACATCAAATATTGCGGATTCTGCCTTGACGAGCTACCCTTGAAGAACTGTAGGACTTACAGCAGTACGCCTACATTCCTTCTCAGGTTGACGATCCAAGTGGAAGACGTCCGGACACAAACAAAATTAATCAACAGATAGAAGAGGGATGATACCAATTGATTATATACAACATGAACATATGTACAAAATAATACACCAAGTACGATGGACTGCTCTTCGACGTACTACCCTTGAAGAATTGTAGGACTTACAGCAGTACGCCTACAACCCTTCTCAGGTTTACGCCCTTAAGTTGGAAAATCGTCGTTGAGCTCATTTGCTGACCTCCTTCCATCATCTATATCCTCGACTCTGAATGGTAACACGCCCATGACATTGTATCGTGGAAGGTAGATGACTAACAAACATACGACGTATCTGACCAACCAAGCGAAGGTACAGAGTAATTTGCACCAAAGATAATAACATTCAAATAGTAGTTTGAAACCTGAAATGCCTTTATTCGTACAAGTCAGTCTAACAGTTACCACCTTGTACACAGTTGGCTTATCGTCACTAAACTGGCCATTAACTTTCGTCCCTTCGAACGGACCGACACTAGCATAATCACTGCATAAGACACGTGGGTTCATGGACGACTCTTTTACTGCATATGACGACACCAACGACGACTGGCTGACACCAGTTGATGAACTTAGCGGTGTATCAGAAGCTGTTGTTGTTAGACCTTTAGGAGGTTGTCTAACCACAGGATTACCACCACTGCTATCCTTTATTATTGGCTCCAGTTCAGCTTTAACATCTGTCGATAGTTGGGCTACACTCGGATCATTTACCCTGACGGTCTCACGATTATTCATATCTGCAGCAACCGCATCTGCCTTTAATTCTACTTCACTTTCAAGTTGTACAGAACCTTCGTTCAACTCAGTAGTAGTAGGCATTCCGCTAATCTCATCATGATCAGCCATAGACAAATGTGAACTATCGTGACCATTGTCAGAAATACCCACTTTACCGCCGTCTGTATGATAGATTTCATCATTTTCAAACTCTTTAATAACAGCCGTAGATGACTCAGGTTCTTCCTCATGAATCCTTAAAGGTTTTATTCCTTTACTCTGACTAGTATTACCTTGTAAACTTGTGGAGTGAGAACTGGACACTGAAACTGTAACCCTCTTCGTATGCACAAACTGTGGTGTCGTCTGAGACACTCTTTTCAACAATGGATTACCAGTTACAACTACAGGCTTCTTCACCGCACCATTATCGATACACGATTCGGAGTCAGAACACGATGACGCTGACTTCACATTTAGCTTGCCACTAAACTTGCTCATTGCTTCACAGTTCGCCTTTGTATGCACTTCTTGCAAACGGACGAAGCACAACCGTGTTTGTCTTGCAGCTTGTAACTTATCCGTTGGGGACGTCTCACTAAAGCTGCCACAATCATTAGGTTTACTAGACACCATACAGCTTTCTCGATATCCTCTACGCTGAGACCCCTTCGTCATAAATGATTGCATTTTACTCTCTGATTTCTCTATTCCAGGGGAGGGATGCAGTATACTAGCAAACTTGCTCAAAGCTTGGTTGACACTGTCTTTCACCAGGCTCACAAGGTCATCCAACCTGGGCTCTAAACCTTCCTCCTCTAGACGTGAACAAACCTTTATAAACTTCCTTTGTAGACGAACAGGTAATCTCTTGGCAACAGTCTCAAGCACGGAACTTGAGTTCAATTCATCTACGCAGTTAAAAGACATGAGTGTATTCCTATATACCATCAAATTATCCAAGAACTCTGCAAGTTCCTCTGCATTATCGTTCAACTGTGATCCGTTACCTTTCACTGTCTCGAAAATACTACGGGATATCATAAATGGCCTCCCAAACCTCTGACGGAGTATCTTCATGGCCTCATCATATCCTTCGTTCGGGGGCATAAACTTACAGCACTGTATGGCTCTTGCAGCTACACCAGTGCAATATCTCAACAAATACATTAACTTCATTTCATCATTCAATACAAAACCACTCAGCATGACCTCAAACTCTTTGATGAACTGTGGGTAGTCGGCTGGGTTTCCATCGAAGTATCGCGGTTCAAACTTAGGCAATCTTAAACCCTTACTGTCACTTAACGGTGAAGCGTGAACATCAAACTTAACATGCTGAGCATCATACATATCATTAAAATTAACAGGCAACTCATCGTGACTTACTTTTTTGTCTGCTTCCATTGTGCCATGTCCCTTTCTTGACCCAGGCATTATCCAACGTCACCAAAGAATCCAAATTGCGTTGATAATCCTTGTCCAAAGAGAAGCTGGCTGCAGATCTAGTAAGTACACCCAGACGATTTCCAGAAGGCGCCCACGAAGACTTGGAGAAGAATAAAAACTGCCCCAGATGGCAATCCAGAAGGCGAACAAATGAATAAAAACTGTCAAGGAACTTAGCCCTAAGTTCCTATCGTAATGAAGACTTAAGCGATTGAGCCGATAAATACTATGCGCTTTCTTCAACTTTAAATCCAAAACACCAGTATTCCTTGAACGAAATTATATTGTTTGGCAATTAAATTGAAGAAAACTACAAAGTCTGCAAACAAATGTTAAGTACAAGTGAAGTTATAAAGTACTTTTATTCGTATTTAAATCCAGTCTTCCTTCAACTTGCAAGCGATTGTTCCATTCGCGCCTTCAATTGCCCGCCAATGGTTGCCAGTTCCAATAAAACAAACGTTCAATGTTCACTTCCATTGACAGAAACCATTACGACTAAACGATGTAATTGAACCTCTGTGCATAAAAGTGTGCTGTAATTTAACTTGCACTTAATCCCTAAATCTTTTCATCTGACTAACTGGTTTCTCAACGTTTTGTTTTGATTTCAACTCATTGATCTAAACTCATTATGAAGACTTATTTGTTTGCTGACGTGACATTCCCCTATACGTATTATAACTATTCGGATAAGAACTATTAATTTCTCTTTGACCAAAAAGGATTTTCGAAAGGCTAAAAAAAAGTTGGATAGCTGACCGGAAACGATCGGCATCATGAAACTCTGACACCCGATGAACAAGCATACCGCAGGAAATGAAGGTGGATTGGACACACACTGAGGATACAAGTGAGTGACATCTCTGCAGACAGAAACTCGAATAGGTCCCTCTGAATAGGGGACGACAGGTTGAACAGTAATCCAAGCGTGATATTGAGGGAATCGTGTGAAGAAGGGGGAATGAAACCTTAGGGTCAATTGTGCAGCCAGTTGAAAAGTGCTGAAGATGACAGGATGAGAAAGCAGTGAACCGTTGAAGCCCCCTGCTCCGCTTGGCACGTAAGGGGATAGTTATTCAAAGGAGAAATTTTTTTATTACTCTCGCTCAAACTAATTATCGTTATTATTATTATTATTAGTGTCAGAGATAGCGTGTTTATTATTTCAATATCCTCTTATTGCATTTCTTCTTCTTCGCCTTTATATCTATTTACAGAATTTTGTTTATCCACTCTATTTCTTTTATCGCCTTTATCGTTGTTGATTTCGTTTGTTTCCTCTTGTTATCGTTATCATTATCGTCATCGTTATCATTGTTATCGTTGATGTTTTGCACTGTGGAACAATGAAAATAACGCGAGTGATTAAGATTTATTTTGTTATTGCATCAAATCGTTTTTATGTTATTATTATTATTACTTAAACATGTGATTGATTTTTTTAATATTGTGTGTTGAAGCTTCTGTAGCAGCCTAATTGGTTTTGTGGGATAAGGTCACTAGCCCCACTCCTAAGACTCCCTCTTTATCCGGGTTTGGGACCGGTTAGAAAACTAGCCAGCTTGTAAACTAGGTGAGGTTTGGCGAGAAAGCATGATTTCAATCACAAGCAGGCAGTCGTCAGCATGGATGAAGATGTCAAAGTCACACATCCAGCCAGGCAGCCTGAATCGGAAACGCAAGATACACCTTCATCATGGGTAGTAATGAGTGTGTGGTCAGTGGGACGGTGACGTGTAGGAGATGATGTGTTGGAGAAGAGGAGATGAGAGATTTTGGACATTTGTGGGGCTAGCCAATTGAAGAGGACAGCGGAAAACAGAAGAAAATGGTGGTGTGTTGTTGAAGCCCTATGCTACATTTGAAACCCAAGGAAACAATAAAAAATATTTGACTGAAACCTATTCAACTAATTCACATTTAGTTTTGCCTTGCCTACCTTGATTCAATTTATTGGTAAGTGATACATTGATACTGTCTTTGCAGCGTACTCACAAATATATATCTCGAGTTATGTCACAAAATGATCAATGTCCCGTTGGGGAGATTTGCGCCTAGATCGTTCAGTGCTGCATACAGAAATTTTACAGTTTGGCCAACTGATCTTGACACTTAGAATTTGATTTTCTCGTAAGATTTTTTTCTTTTATTTCATGAATAATTCCCATCCAGACAATAATCGAAACAAATTACGTGGTTCATTGAAGAGTCTATTTTTGCAGGCGATTTCAGTCACTCAGCTGTACAATCGCAATTATATATACTTATTTTTGTATGTATGTACATTATGTTTGTCTAATAAGAATGAAAATAAGTTAGGGTTTTTTGTTGTGAAGACGTTTCAGAAATGTGATGAATAATCAAATTGTATTTAGCAGTGGGGCGGGCATTGGTAAGAGGGTAGTGGTGATGTACTGTCAAATAAACACAGTTGTAATGTTGATCAACAAACAGAAGTTGAGTAAGTGTAACCCAGTTACGTATGAATAGTTTAATCAGTCACTTGCGATAATGATGCACATAGGAGCAGTAGTTGTTTGCTTATCAGGATTAGATTTGTTAAGGCGAGTTGATTAAGGGATTGATATCAGTTAGAGAACCATTGAAAACCAGTACAGAAGTACTGAACAGCTGTTTCATCCTAGCGTAATGCCAATGATTCCGAAACTGAGATGAAAAAGATGGATGATTTTCTTTTGTATACATAACTCTGGTTTCTCCAACTGAATGACTAAGGAGATGAAAGCATATTGCCTGTCTTTTGTAAGTCATTCTTCACGCTGTAGGTCACTATTAAGGAGGAGGCGTTTGCTGAGATGGAATGACCAATGTTGACAAGATATTCGATTATCGCACTCCCTATATAGCCACTATTACCTCTTGCTGAAGCCTTAGCCATTCATTTAAAAAAACCAGAGTTATGTATAGAATAGAAAGTGGTGTAACCACTTCTACTATCATGGTGACAACCGTATTAACTTCTCACTTGGTGTTTGTGTTCTTGGTTATTTTTTTTCTAACTCCTAATAAAACTTGTAATTTGGAATATTCATGTTTATCCAGACAATTTTCCCAGGAGGAAATCTGTGCATTCGCCTCAGCAAACTTGACAGACAAACGGAGAAACTTGTTCAGTCCCCTTACCGTTGAACGGTCCTTCGCTTTCTTCAAATCACGGAACATACACAATGGATCATAAGAATTATTAAAAAGACCGACAGAGAGAAGAACATTTTCTTTTCGACAACGTCATCAACCACGCCGTACATTCGTGTGTTTATATTAGTAGTGTGTATGAGAAAGTTCTAGAACTATTTCCAGTCAAAGGTTGAACTGATAAAATTGCAAAATTTAATAAAGATATAGTAAGATCATAATTACTGAAAGACTTGACTGTTTGTCAAATTACGGATTAAAGACGTAGTACTACCAAAATAGGTGAAAAGTCCGGACATATAAAAATAAAAGACAGCAACCACATCTAGTAATGCAGATAGGAAGGTTGGATAAGAGAGCTGATAATAGGATAGTCATTATTTGTGTGACAGACGTTTTATGATATCCATGTTAGGGACAACGGCTGAACGTATTTCTACTGAGTCTTTAGATCACCAGTGCCTTCATTATTCCTACATGCCTTGATTTCTCTTTCATTGTGAGAGAGTTTTAATCGGATCTTGTATGCGACTTCGAAGGACTTTTCATCGAATGGGGCTGAATGTTCTGAACTCACCAGATGCTCTGTTACTGAACTATATTCATCCATCCGTTCTCCATTTCCTAATTATGCTGGATAGTGTTCTCAGGCGCGTTTTAGAAGCCGAAGCATGTTACTTACGACTAATGTACTCGGTTCACACGACAAATTGAACTGGTATATGGATGTTGAAGTGGCCAAATGCGACAGCTTGTCTTTAACTTGCTTGTTGAATATTTTCTCACGCGAGAATGTTACTCGTATGCTGGTGGCGAAGTATGCTTTGCTGTGACTTTGAAAGCCATCTACAGAGAAGTTCTGCTTCGGTATTACTATTAAAGTCGAGGTTGAGTATCAACGTGGTTTTTGGGGGCGACTTGGACGTTTTCAAAAGTTTTTTCTTTGGTTTTAGATTCTTCTGTATGAATCTGGTTAGGAAACCACTTTCTATCCAGATCCCCTGAGGATTACACAATTCTTCATCACTTGACTCCTCGGTGCAAATTTTCCAGATCCTTTGTCGTCAGCCTACGAATAGCATTCTCCTGTAAGAAAATATTCAAACACCACGTGAAAGACAAGCTGTCACATTGGGCCACTACAGTATGCATATACCATTTCAAATGCTCTTATAATTACACCGGGTTAGATAATTGTCTTCTGTCTGAATCACTTCTGCTGATCTGGTTTCAACGATATTCAATGACTGCTGCTTACCAACGTTGAATTAAGTAAAATAAAATAGAGAAAAGCCGAAGTTAATTACGTGTCAAATTATTTTACATCATTTCGCAGCAATGTAGCGATGGAAAATAACGATAATGATAATAATTACGGCTTCATTCTGCACAAAAAGTTCACACAACATGCACAAATTTCACCGTGGTTTACTGCATAATATTTTCTCTTCATGAGGAAGTTTTAAGTAAAACAGCCACCTCCAGTACGTCATTTGATGCAAAGCTGTTCAATCTGAAGAAAAAAAGTAATTCTCAAGAGAATGGTTACTCAACAAAGAATATTCTTCTCAATAACCTGCTCTCCATCATTAGGTTCTACAGTTACACATCCATCTATAATTGTGAGTGAATGAATTAGTGTTATTAACAACGACATTAATGTTGCTGTTTAAATAATATCGAATCAATAATAATAATACCAGTGGATTACAGTTCAATAGCACCAACATAACAATACACTGAATATCAGACAGGGATATTTGGAAAAATAATACTACAAATTGATGAATTTATAGTCTCCTCAGAAGGCCGGCCAGAGCAGTAATGGTGGCTAGCTGGATCTGTTTCCTCTGCACACAAAGCACTATTTGATTAAGGTGAATCGCTGTATGGAGTATGTGGTGCCTGATTGTGTTTGGGAATTTATTTGGTAGAGAGCTTGAACCAGGTGTTCTAACATCGAACTATTGATGGTTTTTATTGTACCCTTACTTGGCCACACACGAAAAATCAAGTTCGTGCAGCAAC